TGCGGTTACTTTTCACACATGAAGAAAAGACAAAAAGCTGTGAATCTTTGCAATCATATTTAATGTTTTTGACAAACTCCACTTCAATGCTGCTTTTTGGACAAAGTTTCCAACCTTTTTCTTTTGACGTTTACTGGATCATGAATGTGATGTAACAATTCTCTTAAAGCAGCCCCCTAAATATTGTTAAGAGAAACAGTGAGGAGTTGAAGGACCAGGTAAGGAGAATGCCTCGTCTAACTGGGTAGGATTGCAGGGAGGGGGGCATCCCTTATTAGAAACCCAAGTCACATTCTCCTCTGTGGCGACCAGGACTTGCTGCACTACCAGTAATCCCCCCCAAGTCCCCGCCTGCATCTTATTCAGTTTTCTCATAAGTAGTTAGAGAAACTGTTTTCAGTTGCCACTAATAACTACTGACCTCCAGTGACACAGGCCAACAATGGATTTTTCAGACCTGAAACGCACAGCTAAAAGAAGCTGATTAGGAACTCAAGAGGCTTGAAGCAAGAATCAATGGTTGCTCTGTCCTGCCACGGCGCTTCCAGCATGGTGCTGATGATTGTGGGACCTCTATTAGTTATGCCTCATTAAGTCCCACAAACTCCTTTTTTAAGAAAATTAGTTGGGCTGTTGCTGAAATCTATTACGGTCGTCGATCCCCCAATAAGATGTTTCTTCATCCTGGCTTTGTGACAGAAGAGGCTGAGGAATGACCTATCTTGGAGTTTAATAACTTTTTTCAAATGTTGTTCTTTGATTATTGTGATGAACCCATTTTCTTCCATAAAAAGAACATTGTCACCTATGTATTTCTTTTAAATTATTCATCTGATTCTTCCACTGAGTGTTACCATAACATTTGCCATCATTATTCAAGTAATACCGCAATTTTATAAGCATAGAAATTTGTTGTAAATTCCAATTAGGAGCATATCAACAAAGAAATTACATTTTAAAAGATGAATAATTTTCTGCATTTACTAACTTTTTAAAAACTGAAATAGTTGTTGAAACAATTGGATGGATGTTTTTTTTTTTTAAACTAAAACATCCTTTTTTAAACATTACCTGTTTTCTCAGATGTTTTTATTTACAACATAATTGGTACTTTTTTTTTTTTTTTGCAGTCATGTAATAATTATACCACACAGTTACATTCTGTGTGCTTAATAAAAAAAACATGGCACCCTTAAAAAAACACATTTTGCATTCTAAAGCAAATATGTATAATAGATTTTTAGATCTTTTAATTTATACTTTTAGCGGAATATATAAAATGTCTGTCAAGAAGTTCTTTTTGAGACAAGCCTTCCTGTTTTGTAAATATATTTATAAATATATGGAACATGTTCCTTTAAGAAATATAAAATAATCAGTGTATGATTTTTGTTCTGATTACTTAGCAGTATGTGTCATTTGATCACTGCTGCACTTTGAAATGGGAATGTTCTGAAAGCTGTACAAAACGAAATTTTGTTTTATATACACTCTGTATATACAAAATGACAATAAAAGTTGTTTATGTCTAATTCAGTAAAAGCCTAAATAATGACTTGCAATCCCATTTAAAAAGGAAAACCAGCTTCAAAGGAGGAAGTGCTTTCTCAAAAGCATCCAATAAAAAACTCAATACCTAAAATTTTAGAGAATCGTTTTTAGTAAGAGCATGAGCTTAATAGAATGTAATCTAAGTTCATCAGGTCTAAAGGAAAACATATCCTTCTTTATTTAAAAAAAATATATATTAAAAAGCATTTATTTGGCATACAAAGCCTAAGATGTATGCATCTCAAAAATGCCTAATGTATCATTTTTGATACAAGCAACTCTTCAGATCACTGACTCTTTAGACAAGAAATCTATAACTTCTGTTATATATATATTTTTTTTTTTACCATCTATATGAAATTTTACATCAACATGCCGCAGCCAAAAAAGGATATTTTCTGTTTTCTGAGCTTGCAGTGACTAATTTTCCTGAAAACTAAATACATCCAGCACTTATGTTTTTTCACAGAAAAATCTGCTGTCCTTGGCCTGTTACAAGAACATTGATAATAATTAAACCTTTCAGATTTGGCCAATTCAGTGCATTAATTTTCTTAGAAAATTCTTTAAAAAAACAGGATCTTGCCACTTGATATTTTTTTTTAAAGATTTGGTCAGAATTCAGAGAAAGAGGGGCGGTTAAAGTGGTAGAGCATGCATGTGGGAGTGAGCGTAGAATATTACGCCTGGATCAGTAGCTTTATGATATCGTATACTACCATTAAAAATATCACATGAAGTGGACCTAAATCAACCTATTACTCTCCGTGTGTGTTTCAGAAATAATCGGCCTCATTCAATCCACCACTCAGAAACTAGAACAGATCCTGCTTTTAGCTTTCTAGTTTAATTGCCTCACTACTAAGACTGACAATATCAAAAAAAAAAATGTCTCATCCTGTTTAAGCAGTACAACAAAACATATCTGATTTGTGTTTTATAATGGTTACATATTGGGCCAATGTTTCTGTGTAAACTATGTAGCAAATAGTGTGGAGCTCTTGCCAATTAGCGCTCTCTAGGTTGCTAGGTCGCCATGGTCAATTGAGGAACACATCAATAGGACTTGAAAAGGTTTCTCTGCGATCAGACCTTCTGACATATTAAGTAGAATAATGGGGAGGAGGAGGAGAGTTGGGGTGGAGGGGAATGGGGGTATTGCAGGAGGCTGAAGCAAGGCTTCCTTCTGTGTTCACATTATGCAGTGCAACCTGCAATTACCTGAGAAGAATAGGCAAAGAAATCCTTTACATCGGTGAAACACAATATCCTCTGCTCTATGCTTTATAATAACTGTATATAGCACTGAAGTAATGATAGAGACCCCTTCCAGCCCTGATGGAAATATCCGATTTGTTTAATAGAGGTAATTTCATATAATGCATTAGTCTTCAATTGCTCTGTCTGTGTTTATAAATGTCCATGGGCAAGAGTACATATGCATGGCCATGGTTGTTGTTCACATCTTTAAGCAGTATTTGTAGCTAGATTCACATACTGCAGCACCAAAACTTCAGAGAGAAATGATGATGCCACAACCAATTACAGAGCCAAACTTGTCTCATATCTCCTTGCCAAAATAGGTAAGCTCCCCCACGATCTCCCAATAAACTGAGTGTAACAACAGGCACAATGGCCAATGATTACCTAGCATAGCCTATTAGTGTGCCATAACTGTGGCTATTGAAAAGAGAAGAGAATGGATTCACCTCTACTTTCATTTCATGCGGTCCACCATCGAAAAGCTTTGTTGACAACTCATTCATGCCATAATTTAGCCAGAAAATCTATCAAGACACATCTTGCAGCCCCAAAGTGTGTATTATGCAGTTCATTTCTAGTTTAACGGCCTGATCACACTGTCTTCCGAAAGTGTTTTCAAGCTTTACTTTCAAATGTCAGGTGCATATTGGCTCTGGTGCTTCCTTTAAGTGCAGAGATGATAACATATAACATGCAGCTGTCAGGTATGTGGAAGGGTTTCTTTTTAAAAGGAAGGCCCCTCAAGCTTTCTATTGAGCTGCACTGATAGCCAACATCACCGTCATCAACACTGGGCGTTATCAGTGAGAGGATTGAAAAATAACTACAGAACATGATTATGTTACCAGGAAAGATTTAAAATATGATTATCAGCTGCTGCAGGTGGGGTCTGAGTTTTTAGCAGAACTGAAGTTAAATGATGTAACCTAAAATTTGGAAATAATTCCCACTATTATTATTATTATTATTATTATTATTATTATTATTATTATTATTATTATTAATAATAATAATAATAATAATAATAATAATAATAATAATAATTTTTGTTATTATTATTAGTAGTAGTAATAGTAGTAGTAGTAGTATTATCATTTTGTTAATGTGAAACTTCTATGGATTATTTCAATTGCATTAAATAATAAATAATTGAAATTAATGTATTACCCAGACTTTCCTATCAGAATTTAATGTTTTATTATTCCCAATTTGAATTATTGCTGTACATCTCTAAATATAATAATATTTGAAAAAGAGTGATAACAGCGAAGAGAAAAAATATCTAAATAAAAAAATATGTAAATAAAACACTTTGTTCATATTGAAGTAAAAAAAAAACACCTAGTTTGCTGAGTTCAATTTTAAGTTTATAGCTTTAAACAATCTTGCTTAGCCTACATGACATATGTTTGTGTCTGATATACAAGTTTAATGTTTGCTGTTTTTAGTTGACTTTGTGTAACGTATTTTAAAAAGTTAGCAACTTCAAAGGGTCAAAAAATAATTGAAACCTTTTAAAGAACTCTTTCTAAGAATTAAGCTTTTATGCCATTAATAATATTATTTTTCTAAAATTTAGTTTACAGTAGGGCATTTTTTAGAAAAACTAAAGTGTAAAATAATAGGACTGTTTTAGAGTTGTTCATCCCAGCTTACAATAATTAATATTTTGAACATTATTACGATATATCTAAAAACTATAATAATAACAATAATATTAATAATAATAATAGTAGTGCATGTATATTAATGTGGGGTAACATAATAACCAGTAGGTATATAACGCTGTTCGCCCTTATTGCAATAATTGGCTGTAATTGTGTATTTGATAAAAGAACGCACATTCACAATAAAGCTATTAAAGGGCATCGAAACGAAGGTCTGGGTCTATAAAATAGATTATAATCATATAGAGATATTCCCTTACAATAGATTGTAAGGGAAAAACAAGAAATATAGAACAAAATATACTAAACAAATACTTTTAAATGTACTGAAAAATGTTAAAGATGTGAAAAGAGGCGATGTCTCCCATGAAAGCAAGCCCTCCAAAATGTCACCTGAACAATGCTGGCTCCCTCATCGACCTTGCTTTCCAGCTCAATTTGGTCTCAATAACAACATAATGAAAATGCACTCCAAAACAGAAACCCCTTTAAAAAAAATTACTTATTCAGAAATAGCTCTCACACTTCAAGTTATTTATTGTTAACGTTCACTTGGTTTTGAAACATATACAGCAGCCATCACGCATTTGTTCCTTGTTTTTTTTTCCTTTTTTTAACTTACAAAAAAAATATTAAAGAAAACATAACTGTGGACGCTATAACGATTATCATACATTAAAACGCAGGTTGTTGGTGTGTGTTAGCCAAATATACAAGTACCTACTTTATTCAATAAGTCTAATCAAATGAATACATTAGTTTACAATATTAATATGATAAAATACCAAAGAAGGAGTGGCGGTTTTAGTGGAGTTCGAACCTGATTCCACCTTTCCTCCTAATCAGTACAAAGAAGTGAAGCAGCATTCCTTTTTGTTTTAACAACATAGACTACGTTTAAAACATCATGAGGAAGGTCCAAAACATGAGTTACAAAAAGGTCCAGAAACGACATGGTTTCTGTCAAAGGGCGGCCATCTGTGTAATGTTCAAAAATAGACTCCCTCTGCCAGAGACGTTAAGAAAAATGTGTCCATGCGCGTCTTTGCGCCACTGTGCGCCTCTGTGCGTCTTGTCCTTTTTATATATATATATATATATATATATATATATATATATATATATATATATATATATATATATATATATATATATATATATATATATATATATATATATATCGGCTGGAAAAGTAAGAGGTAACAGTACTGTTGTACTGTTGTTGAAGGTCCTACCACGTTCTGCCGTAAAGGAGGTTTGAGCTCACCATGTTACTGGTGTAATCTACAGCAGATGTGTCTATCTGGGCCATGTTCAGCTGACTGTGCAGTGAGGGCGGACTGGGTGACATCTCCTCCAGATCCAAAGCGTTCACCTGCTGCTGGCTCTGATGCTGCCCGAGGCTCCCGGCTGAAGACGCGAGCACCACCCCGCCTCCGTTCTGCTGCTGGCTCTGTTGTTGGTTCTGCTGCACCTGTTGCTGATTTGGCGTCGGTGTGTTGGAGCCGTTCTGACACGGTTTACCGTCCTTTACAAGAACAGGCACCGCGACGCGCCGCGGGGACTGTGCCTGCTGTTGGCACATGTTGCCGTCCTGTTGCTGTTGCTGCATCTGTTGCGCCGCCTTGTCCTTGGCCTGGCGCTTCATCTTATACCGGTGGTTTTGAAACCAGATTTTCACCTGGGTCGGCGTCAGGTGGATCATGCTTGCCAGGTGTTCCCTCTCGGGCGCCGACAGGTATTTCTGCTGCTTGAACCGCCTCTCCAGCTCGTATACCTGAGCCTGCGAGAACAGGACGCGCCTTTTCCTCCTTGGCGCAGCGTGCAGAGTTGGCATGGCTTTGCTGGCATCTCCCATCCCCGTCAGGCTCCCCATGCCAGTCATGTTCATACCTGTGGAAGGTCCCATGAATCTAGAAACTTAAAAATATACATACATATACATGCGTTCAATAAACAGAAGAGGAGAACACTATTTCGCCTGAAGTACTTTTATTTATTTGAATTATGTATTGATCCAAAAAGAGTAACATCAAAATGCTTTAAAGAACATAATAATAATAATAATAATAATAATAATAATAATAATAATAATAATAGTTGTAATAATAATGATAATAGAACAATAATAGTAATAACACAATAATAAGAAGAGTAAAAGTCGAGTCAGACTTGAAAGAATGATCTCCTTTTCAGTTTTAATCTTTAAATATTTTTTTAAAAATATAAATCATCCTAATAGGTGGAAACATAATTAATAATTCTTTTAAAGCATATTATCTCAGCTGGGTTTTACGCGCGCTTTTAGCATTGCACTTCTATCATAAAGTGAAAAATTAAAACAATAAAAATGTGAAGAAAACAATAGTCGAACTCACTTGTGGAGTATCTTGGATCAGGGTTCGCGCTATACCATCCTGTAGCTGCTGCAGTATTCCGCATGCTTTCCTGGTATGACGGGAGATCTCCCATGTTGCCAATGCTCCCGTTGCAGTATCCCCCCATTGCGCCGTGGGAGAACTGAGAGACGGAGTGCGGCATGTGATAAGTTGTAGCCACGGTGGCGTTGTGGCCCATGGAGTGCTGCTGCATCCCGGTCTGAGACACCTGAGGCTGTCGGTAGGCTCCCAGTGGAGATGTTAGGTTCCCTGCGCCGTCCATGGCACTGAACTTCTTGTAGGTCTCCTCGATTGGACTCAAAATATCTGTCACTGAAAAAGGCGTTGTATGCTTTGGGCTCAACGACATGATTCAGAAAGCAGGTAGATTTTTGTGTTTGAGCAGATCAACCGTGTTGTTGTATCGGCTCTCTCCTTTGTGGATGTCTACGTAAGAGAGTGCTTGGAGTGCGCCTGAGATCCTATTGATCGCCTTGGAGAAGGAGGCGAGCCCAGGGCGCTCTTAGCCCGGGTTTATTGGAGCCAGTAGCCAGGTTTACGACAAACACCGGGGGGGCGGAGCAAAACTCCTAAACCAGCAAACAATGGTCATTTACATTTTTTTAAGGGAAATAACTAATGAAAACACACTTTGCTTCAGGATAAGTTCTGGGAACGAAAAAAAACAACTAATATTACAATTAGTGAACATGTTCATTCTGGCAACTTTATCCATGTGAGAAGAACTCTTGATTTTCTGTCCATCAGCTGATCTTTCTACATATGACTTCTTTTTTTTTGCGTCAGTAGGGAATTCCACTCTTTCCAGAAACTTTGAGAGCACTTTGAACAGACATAAGGGCCACCGAGTATCATCAAAGAGCCACAATGAAGTTGCATGACCAGCTCATTTGGTCTTCTTGAGCATCATTTTACCCCACCAGAGAGGGGCAACCCAAATAAGATCAAAATGGTAAAAATGCATGAAGAGAAGGGCATTAGGATCCATATCCAAACAGTTTTTATATTTTATTTGTAAATCTTCAAACATGCTGGTGAAAAAAAAAACTTTAAGCTCTGGATATTTCAAGAAATATATTCAAGGAATACACCTGTTGAACTTTAGGGAAAATAATAAACTTTACTCCTTTGGGGAATATTTCTATGACTGTCTGGAATTTTTGATGATTAAAAACGTGTATCTGTGATGTATTTTCACGAAAAAAAGCCAACTTTTCAACTCATTTTTTTTGTGTGCACGTTTTTGGTCTCTGTGACTGTGCTGATGTTTTATGGTGATGGCTGCAAAACATATGCCCCATCTTTAAAATATGTTTAACAACTTATTTACTCAGCTAGATAAGATATTAAGAATAACTTGCAAAAGATATAAAGGTTTTAGGATGTTTTTTTTAAATAACAATAGCATGTTAACAAAAAAGTGAGAAAATCATATTTTAAAAATGTATTTACCCAATAAAACAGAAAAAAAAAAAAAAAAAAAAATATATATATATATATATATATATATATATATATATATATATATATATATATATATATATATATATATATATATATATATATATATATAATTGGCTGATGTTGTTATTCTGGTAAATCATAATTAATACACTGGGTTTTGGTCACTCCATATACCGCACTCCCATTAAAGTTTTGTATACAATGCACAAACTGTTAAAATACATAAAACTCTTTCAAAAATGCATATACCTTTACACATATCTACCAATATAGTTACTTAATGCAAAAATCATCATTTTGGGAAAGTATCAAGTCTGGTTAAGAGATAGGAGTCTCAGGAATGCCTGTCCTTATTTGGCATTGTAGAGTTAACCTTATAACATAAAATGTAGCCTTTTTATACAAGTTTTCCATGGAGATCCAACATTCCTATACCTCTTTTACAAAGTTGCTTGTTTGTTAACCCCCTGTTAATTAAGCATGCTACTTTGTATTTAATAGGTATGTCAATTGTTTCTATGATATACAAAGTGTAACTGTTTGTTTGCCTTATCACATAATAAATAAATTACTTGTAATTCAGAATTCAACAAAACAAAGTAAAGTTACTGCTTTTGTCAAAATATAACATAAAGGAATGTCGTTAAACAATTTTACAATTATTTTCCACGATTTTTATGAGCTCTTACAATACACAATCTCTATTTATATTTATCAATATAACTTTCTTAATATAACTTAGGGTGTCCACAATGCATTCTTTTGTGCCCTTTTATGAACTGAGAGCATGTTAAGAGAGCATAGATTTGTGTGTTTAAAAAAGACAAATTTGTTCAAATATGTTCTGTTTTGAGTAAGTCTAACTAAATTCAGGAAGATGTTGGTGATGTTTTGACCTGATTTACTTCGGAGACAAATATACAGGCTTTAAATCCCCAAATCTGGTTTGCAGTCTTGCCCCGACCTTGTAATCTCTGAGCAAACTGACTGGCGCCAAGGGAAGAATAGGAGGAAGAGTGAAACAAGAAAGAGGTCAAGGAGGGAAAACAAAATGTAATAATGAACAACAGCACAGAATACTCAAGGTGTAGATTCTCACATGGGTAAAAAACTAATTATCACATATGCATTTCATTTAGATTGCACTGAAATGATCATACTTTTAGATTATTTTCAATCTGGAGAACAAATGACTTTTTTGTCATTTCTATTTTACTTTATTCCTTTTATCGTGCAGAGGAGCTCTCTTTTCTGCTGCAGAAACCCACTAATGAAATTTACCATGGCATGATGGCGGCAAGCAGCTACCTACCCTAATTGAACAAATGAAGATGTGACATGGTCATCCATCAATTATAGCAGCAGAGCGAGAACGTCGGTTTCCATCGTTTAGGTTGATAACCTGAACGTAATAAATCGTCGCATTTCTTTCTGTCGTTCCTACACTCTTCTCTTTCCCCTTCAGATGCCAGAACGGATTTAACCTGAAGTGGCTCATCTTTATGGTCGCCATGGAGAAAAGAATTCACTAGGCTTCTACAACAAAGATGCAGATTAAAAACAAAAAAAAAAAGAAAACAGACAAAACAAAACTTTATATTTCGCATTCTGATCAATGTGTAGGCTATGATTAAAAACTTCCTGTTGTTTTCAGTAAAAAAAATGTAAAAAGTAAAATTTCCTTTTTCTTCTAATAGCCAACTCTTGGTACCTTCATTCATGCGCTATTCCCAACTGTTTTGGGGGAACAATGTTTCACGTAAAAAAAGAAAGAAAGAAAGAAAGAAAGAAAGAAAGAAAGAAAGAAAGAAAGAAAGAAAGAAAGAAAGAAAGAAAGAAAGAAAGAAAGAAAGAAAGAAAGAAAGAAAGAAAGAAAGAAAGAAAGAAAGAAAGAAAGAAAGAAAGAAAGAAAGAAAGGTAGGCCTCGGCCCAGACCTCTAACATTATGTAAATCAGACAAACCTCTCAACCTTGTGGATTACTGAGTCAGAGAGCAGGACCCTGTAGTCCGCAAACCCCCCCTCCATATCAGGATCCCATAAAAATCTGGAGCTCGATTGCTGCAACGCTTGCATGAGATAAGGATCCGGTTTTTTAAATTCTTAAAAACCATGTTAACTCTCAAAAAGCTGGGGATAAGATGCGACAGACCCAGGTGGAGGCACAATAAACGCGTCTGATGCGGATACGCGACAAGGTTGGTCTATAACGCTTCTATTTTATTTTATTTTATCATTTTTATTATTTTATTTTTTTTTACAAATTAAACAATTTTCTCTTAATTGACTTTGTTGATGTTTATGTTTGACAATTAAATAGTTTTTTATGACAGACTCTTGGCAACATGGATATCTAATGATAAGAATTAAAGGCATAGTGAAGAAAAAAAATGTTTTTCTTTTATTATTTAACGCTAACGCATCCATTAAGCGCCTTACAAATCATTCTTCTACTACATTAAAGGTAATATTTAAGAATCAGTGATGCCAACATAAATAGCCTATGTTTTCTTTAGCCCATTTTTACAATATAATTTTACGTATGGCTGAAATTAAATGGCAAAAAGATAAACATTTGTTTATTTATTGAGTAATAACTGTTTAAATTCACACCAGCGAGGCTCAGTTCATTTCTTAACGCACCTGTACGTCTCCATTTGTCCATTTAACTGCTGTTTACCAGAATTCAATACCAAACCATTAATATCACCGATTTGTATCCTATACACAATCTTTTTCCGATACCGTCACCCCTCCCTTAGCTCAAAGCAGCAGATGGATCCAGGCGGCCTGGTTCCTGAAGTGCTTTTTCCCATCTCGTTGATGCGAGTTCAATACCCTGAGAGATGCGTAGAGATGGCTGAAGGGCCAGGGTCCTGACCTGCCAACTCAATCACACACCGGCCGAGGACAGAGTGCAGAAAACAGCAGGATTTATTTGGTCATGTTTCCCCGAACGTCTCCATTTAAAGATTTCTGTTTTTTTTTTAAATATATGCTCAGGATTCATCTTACAGACAAAGGTAATATCATAGTTTGCGGTTCTAAATATATATTTCTCTTTTTTGTTCAATCTAAATTCATTAGAAATCAGCTAAATCGCCGTGCGTAATATAGGCTACATCCATATGCGCGCTTTGTTTTGGACACTTGATTTCATTTCCTTTTTTGCAAATTATGAGTTAAACAGCATTCAGCGTGCTTTTAGGGTTATAATCTGCAGGGAATGGTATAAAAAAGACATTATATTTCAGAGTGTTGAGGTTTATAAAAACCAGTAGACCTCCCAGCACCAGAAGATACATCTAAATAGGTTTCAGTCATAGACGCTGAGGTAAAGTGCTTGATATTTTCAATTTAATGTAAAGTTCCTGCAAAAATTAATGCAGAACTTCAACTACAACGCAAAAAAATTAAACAAAACATAATAATAATATATTTTTTTAATGACTGGCATTTTGGCGATTTTATATTAGTTATTTCTCCTTGTCAGTAATTTGTCGGAAAATTAAGGTTTAATAAGTAATTCATTTGTGCGCGCGTTTTTTTTTTTTTTTTTTTTTTTTAATGAAGCAACATAAAAATAGATCTAATCTATCTGTATTTACGCTCAAAAGTAGAAATACTTTCTGCAATCCTAAATTTGGTTTTCCGGCCTCCCATGTCTGGCCTATGAGCATTATTTGTTGCACAGATCTGTGGAGGAAATTCCACACCTGCGGCCATTGTGGCACCATTTAGATCAAATACTTTCTCTCCTCTTAAATCGCGGCGCAGCGCGAGAGTAAAAAGCGGGCAGGTGCATATCTTTCAGCCGCACTACTTGAAACGTTGCGGCTCCCATGCTAAGTAGGTTAAAGGTCCTCCCAAGTGGAGAAAGTATGTGACAGACCTCTTGAAGGCCGTATTCTTCTGCAGGAGTTTGCATTCATTCACAATTAATGTGGCTTGATGAAGGAAATGATGCTAATAGAGGTCCAAAAAAACAGAATATGGGCTTTAATGGGATGCAGGGACATAATCTTACAGCTGGGATAGATGGGGAACGGAAAAAATAAATGTATTATAATA